ACTTTGAATGTGCACAAAATATATTTTTGTAAAGGAGAGTGTCTGGAGAGCACAGATATTTTGTTGATAAACCATTGCGTCTATGATTTTGGTATATTCCATTTTTTTCTATTTACTGTACAAATCGGACCCTATTTATGTATCTATGTTGATTGAAACAATAAAAGTATTATTATTATTATTATTAACCAAACATCATAAAAGCGCAACATCGTGGCATTCATCCTTCTTGCACTTGTTCTTTCATCGACTACACCAATCAAATACAACGATCAAATGTCCCGTGACTTGCGCTTTTAGTATGTCTGTTCGTGTTTGTATGCATTAGCGCTATGCTCCGACCTAAAATGAAACGAACTATACGGTGAATAGACATTGGGAAATACATATCTGTATCATTTTCCTTTCCTCTTACTTCTCTGACTATTAGGGTCGATCGATAACTATTAGATTCTTTTGCTTTGCCCTTTTCGGCGCAGGTGTGCCGCGAATCTTAGCATAAATGGCATTTCGGCGCAATATGCAGCATACTTTCGTTCATGGCACAATTTGGCGCAAATGGCGCAGCACTTCCATCACTGTATTAACTACACTACAAGTTTGCATTGTACACAATAAGGAGAGCTGTAAATGAATTGGTTTTCACTTTGAGGTCATGGCACATCATGTACCCATAGGTTCCAGAAGTGCCATCACGAGGACATTTGAACGCAAGCGCCTTGAAAGCAGCCAAAAATTTATGAATCTCCAGCCTACACGGAGGAAGGGTCCAAAAGTTAAGACTAACAGTGTCGTTTTAGCAGCGGCAGTTCTGAGCATGTTTTCTTTAGAACCTCGACGTTTACAATGGCTCTGCAGGCACTCGCGATTTACATTGCCCCTCTGAATTTCCTAACCGCCGCTATGTCAGACGAAGCAAGTAGGCCAGGACAAATGCAGATTTAGCAACTCGGTGCAAAAATTATGGTAGTGAATCTTAAGCAAGCCTACACTGCATGCTACAGGACCATGATGCAATAAGTACACTCAAAATCAACATGGATTTGGCTAACGTAATTTTAGTTACAATCACCCTCTTTGTAAAGTGGGTTTGACTGTACTGAAATTGTGTCAGCACACAAGCACATGATCAAAACGAATCCTGATATCAATGCAAAAATTCAGCTTTTCGCCAGTGTGCAAAGCGACGGCAACAGCTGGAGCCGCGACACAGCATGAGCTTGCTTACATCTTGACCGGGAAACTCTGGGGAGATATGTTGCAGAGATTGACAAACATAATTTATAAATCACTATCATGTACATGACAAGAGTGATCAAACGAATTGTGCATTTTCAAGCTACGCTGGCTGCACCCGGCAAAGCAAGAGGCCCGCCTTTTGTAGCCTTTGGAAGCGAATGGTAGTGCAACACTCGCTCGCGGCACGCGTTTCCCACGTTCGCAAAACAATGGTTGTCCATACTAGAAAGAAAGATGAAGCGTGCATTTTATCAAGAAGCATTGGGTCGGTGCTGGGAAGTACTTTAAATAGATTGCACTTAAAGTAGTACTTTAAATAGGTTTAGCAAATTTTTACTTTACTTCAGACACATTGACTGAGTATGTACTTCTACTTCACTCGGTTTTTTTTTTTTTTTTTTTTTTTTTGTTTAGTAATTTTCGAGGAAAGTACAACTCCTGACTTCAAAGTACATTCCCCAATTTTATCTTGTTGGATTTGTATCACAAAATGATACTTTGTCAACTCTGAAGCGATACCGGGATGGCTCATTCTACTCCCACCAAAAACGCGAGCAGACGATGCATCCTTATACTGCTAATTTCTCCGAGTGAAGTAAAGGTTGCTATAAGACCGATACAAATAAGTGCCGTATAAGAGAATGGTGTTAAAACTATACGTCAGCGAGAGTAACCAACATAGGCCTTCGGACAGTATTTGACGCTTTCTGTCGTTATTCGTGCACCCAATCGAGCAATGGTGCCTCGATGACCGGGGACTGTCGCCATCCAAGCCCATGGCTCCAATTACGTTTGGGAGTTTAAAACAGAGAAGAAAGCGCGAACGAAGTGCGGGCAATGCATACACCCAACACCGGTGCAGCCTCTCATCCGGGGCTTCCTCTTTCTAACGCCCCAGCCAGGGGGCAACAGGGGGAAAGCGCCGGTAGCCCTTTCCCCTTTTCTCTCCCCTTGCAGGACCAGAGTAGGGATTTGTAGTAGATTGTTTTTCTGAGCAGAACGTAAGGGCGCAAGTGAGCTGGTGTATATTAAACATTTTAGTGAAAAACCCGAGACTGAGGTAAAACCGACGACGACAAGGAAGAGAAGGAGAACGTCTCAAACACAGCTGTTTGAGACGTTCTCCTTCTCTTCCTTGTCGTCGTCTGTCATTGCCTCAGTCTCGGGTTTTTCACCAAAATGTAAAATTGTTTTTCTCCTTCGCTACGGTATCCGTAAGGAAAACGCCGCAGCTGCGCATGCGCGCCGCCAGCCTTGTCTGCATAGTTCAAGGTATTGTGGCGGATAACGGAGCGCTATCCGGATGCCTAGCGGGCTGCGGAAACGGTCTACTAAAACTCCCTAGTATCGCATTCCTTTTCGTTTCGCCGCTAACGCCGCAATGCAAATAAAGGTGCGCCGAACTGGATCCAACCTTCATGCGGGAAAGTGACCTTGCAGGCGCCGAGTCTCAGGCGGAGCAAGTTTCTCGCTTTGCGTTTGCGAAATATACATTCCACATTATAATCGAACGACGTGGAAGATTCCTTGATCATTGAACATTATGTGTAGCCAATAAATACAGTATAATCGCTTTTACAGCGGAGCTGTTAAGGGCTAGTTTCCCCAGGATCGCGTCCCCCGCAAAGAAATGTCGACACAACACTCTGGTTGCCGCTGTCACTCATAGATGGCGGTAGCTGACCAGAGTGTTGTGTAGGGTGGCTGTAGTGTTGTGTTTGCCCATTGTCTGCTTGCCGCCGTCGCTCATAGATGGCGGCAACATTTCTTCGGAGGAAGAAGAGCGGGAACGGAACGAGCGGCGATGTGCGCAGCAGCGCGAATGATTTCGCAATTGCTGCGAGGTCGCTATTGCCGAAAGTTTCACTGCGTCGAGCGCTTCAGATTCCCTTGCGAAAGAAGAGCAGATCGCTCGCCTGGAAAACCACCGCCGAGAACAGAAGCTGCAGCTCCGCTGCTCTTCCTTCTTCACCACAATGGACAGGCTGAAAGTTTTTTTTTTTTTTTTTTCTCTTTTAACGGAATTAATGTATTAAAACATGTTTCCCAAGTATGGGAGGCAGACAACACGGAGCACGATTGCGTTGCTCGCATCTGCGGCCCTCGCGGAGCGATACACAACCCGACCGGCACATCCGAGCACCTCGCACTGGACAACAAAGCACAGCATGCTTGTAAACCGAGAGCGAAGAAACTCTTAAAATGGACGACGTTTTTGTCGTACACTGCATTCTAGTGAGGGGAATAGAAGGAAAAGAAAACAAATGAACATACGACGGCACACATGCAGCGTGTCCCCGCACTATTGTTCGTTTTGCACGCCACCAGCTCACGACTGCATTTCCTGCAAAAACGACGGTCGCTTCCCGCAGAGCAGCTTTGGATTCAACATGGTCGCCCTGGCAGAACCATTGCGATACTTGCTCCGCAAGCGGAGCATACGCAGTTACTCTAGGCGCTGCCAGAGCTGCATATGTAGTTTGGTCATTAATTTGTAAGAATAGGGCAAAAATAAGGGCACATCATTGGCCGAAATTGCCTCAATGACCTTGGGTGCATTGATTGACAGCTCTTGTGACCAACCACTAGCCACGAATATTCACCTAGTGGAGGCAATGAGCTTAACTTATATCTTCCAATCACAATTTCAGGTAAGGACGTATTCAAGTATTTTATTTCAGCAAGTTAAAGTTTGCGACCCTTCGTAACTGAAGAGGCAATGCACGAGACGTTGTGGTCATGGTGACACTCAGAATGCGCTCAATCTTTACGATTGCAGTCGCAGCCGCGGCCACGACGAAGTGGATGGTCAAAACCGTGGACAAGGCTCCATGGGAATTTTGAACCTAACAACGAACCCGCATCGTACGTTTGCCTCATGTTTTAGGTAACATTTCTCGTCAATGTCACCTGCTCTGGCTCAGTAAATGCACTCAGCATTTTGAAACTCCCTATTTCAATCAATCTCTTACAATTACCCATTCATGTACTTTCAGCCTCATCCAGAAAAAAAGAATAACTGCACCGCGGTATGCGTCAATTCCAAGGTCATCTCAGATATTTTTACTTCGCAGTATCACCACGGGGGGAATATGCAGCGCTAGCGGTGCCGCTACTTTCACCGCTCCACCCCGGCTGCTCCCATTGACCAAACTCTCTCTATATACGGTTCTGGGCACTGCCGGGTGCACCCGCCATATCTTGGCTGAGGGGTGAACTACTTTGGTCAGATGTGGTCACGTGATTAGATGACGTCACGGAGCTTTCTGCTTAGCACAACGCTGCCGCAAATGCACTTAGAAAATGTTTGTGACAGCTGTCGCTGTAAAACAAACAAATTCACTTGACTCTGCACACATCCTTCACCTTCCTCAGCAAGTGCCTGCCAGAGTGAGGAAAGAAAAACTGGAAGAAAGAAACACCAGGCAATAACAACAAACAATGAGAAGCAGACAGAAAATTTGGTTTTTCTTTTACTGTACAACAAGCAACAATATTTACAACCTAGGGCCCGCCAGCTGGTTCCAAGTCTCACCCAAACCGTCTCGATTCCCGACGGCAGACCTTCGCAACAACAATGAAAACTGTAAATCCTGGGTCATGATCAATCCCTCGAAATGGCGGTGATCGTGTCCGGTAAAGAGCACGCTTGGCGGACACACATCTCCTGCAAAGGAGAAAATGAGCAAGAGCGCGTTAGCGGGATGAACCAAAAAACGAGGTAATATAATTTATTCCCATTAATTATCTTTTTATATTCCTCTTCTAATTCCATCAAACAGCATGTATGTATACCAAGTTTAGCAAGGCAGTTCCAAGTAATGGATCACGGTGGGGATCACACGCACGGGCAAACTTACGAAGTAACTTTCGCGAGAAAAGAAGGCCGAAGCGACTGATTAGTTTGGTACGGCCATGCGGTCAAGCCCAGCTTTTCGTGGAGGGCGTAGACTTCCAATGCCTTCTATTGAAAAGCTTACTCCGGCATCACTTTCCCGAGCCGAAGACTCGCTCGTCCGTTTTGTCTCGCGTGCTCCATGCAATGGTGGAGCGCGAGCAGTCGGAGTGACACTGACCCATGTGTCCAGGAGGGATGTGACGGAGTACTTCTCGGGCATCTTGTCCAAGTGCATGTCCAGAGACTGGAGAATGTTCCTCAGGAACTGCGTCGAGTCTGGGAGAGCAAGAGTGCCGACAAGCGCGTCTCAGAGACTCCGCTCAACACTAATTTCTTGCTAGTTGGAGCCCGCTCAGACTGTCGACAAAAAAGGCGCGTGCTGAGCACCATTAAACCAAATGTGTCTTCCTTGAAAACTTCCACTGAGGGGGATCGCAAAATTATTTTTCAGTGTTGGTACTAGTTAGCCAACGTCTTCGACACCCGTATGGGTGGATGTTCAAATTCTGACACATTGGGCACACCTCGGATGTCACAGAGGTCTCAGTACGGCATACGACTCCACACGCTTACGCCAAAATACTGTATGTTTTAATGCCTTAATAACAAACACTTGCAACAAATGACTGCTTAACAAAGTAGATAAAAGTCATGGCCAAATCTCTATCATTTCAATGTGCTGGCCTGACCACTATAAAACATTTCTGTTTAACCCTCTCATGCATGAATTATAATGACCATGTAAAATAAAAAGTGTACTACAGGGTGAAACAAGGAGACGCCAGGCTCTTTAAATCGACCGGAAAATTCAGTTTCTTAACCTATGGCGCTACGACTTTGTGCAGCGTTGCCCACAGATGGTGCATATTTTTTTTTTGTAAAATTTGCAAAGAACAAACTTACCTGAGGAAAAAGTAAGGAAGGAAAAAGGCTTAACTTCTATGGAAACGCAGCGACGCCACCGGTCTGCAAACAACACGGCGCCGTTTCGCACAGGGGACAAGAGATGGCGCAACAAACGCCGCCAACGAACGAGCATACGGCGCCAAGAGCAGGCCTTTTTAGCAGACAATCTTTTCGACTCAAAAGCGACGCGCGTTCCGCAGGCGGCGACAGTCGCAGAAACAAAAAAGACAGGCGCGGTAACAGCAAGGAACTGCGGTTCCTTGTCTGCAAAAGGACTGGCTCTCGGCGTTGTCTGCTCGTTCATTGGCGGCAGTTGGCGTCGCGACCGCTTGCGCCATCTCCTGTCTCCTGTGCGAAACGGCGCCGTGTTGTTTGCAGACCGGTGGCGTCGCTGCGTTTCCATAGGAGCTAAGCCTTTTTTTTCTTTACTTTTTCCTCGGGCAAGTTCGCTCTTCGCAAATTTTACAAAAAAAAAAGCACCATCTGTGGGCAACGCTGCACAAAGTCGTAGCGCGATAGGTTAAGAAACCGAATTTTCCAGTCGATTTAAAAAGCCTGGCGTCTCCTTGTTTCACCCTGTATGTTGGGACATTCATGTAAACTGTATGTTAAGTGAATTAAAAACAAATGTACTTAAAAATTTAATTTGTAATAGCAGAATGGACATGTCATCAAGTTGAGGTCAACATGCATTCCAGTGGTCAGGTAATCTCAGTTTTGGTGTTACGCAGTAATTTTAATTGATCAAACTGGTTGTGTATTTGGGCAGACATGTCAGCACTGTATAATTTCTGTGTTACAATGGTAAACAAAATCTTCTAGAACTGGAAAATGAACATGAACGTCTCACAATGCATGAAACCCTTCAAAGTGCTCGGGGAAAGGTGGGACATCATAGCGCCCACAGGTCTGTCACCCGTATCACACACGACAGACGACATCCTCTGCACCCTGCCATTCTTGAGCACTGCTGATGTGAAGGCTGTCTTCAGATTCATCAGCTATATGTCTAAAATTCAGTCATTTTCTTCTCTAGAGAGGGATAACTTCTGTCTGGAATTTTTCATTCTGCCGTAAGAATGCAGTGAGATACAGAACTCGCAAGCATACGAGACAATGTGTTTTGCGGGCAAAAGTCGAAAGAACGCGAGCCAAGTGAGGGCAGGGCAGTGTTACTGCATAGTGTCCCCATTTGAGGTCAAATATAATGAGCGTAAACAAAACGAATGGAAAGAAATAATTTACAAATTTTGCTTGCTAATAATTTATTCATGGCTAGAACAATCGGAGTATTATTTTTGTTACAATGTTCGAGCAAAACTTTGCTGGTAAAAAATTATTTACTTTCACTAACTGCTGCTAGGCAATACTGCCAGCGGAGACGAAGCAGTATACCGTCTGGGTAACCGCAGGCAAGTGCTGCCATCTTTTGGCCAGCTGGAAAAGCTTTTGCTGTCCTCACTTGAGGGCACCATGCCACAAACTACAATGTAGAACTGTTTTCTGCTATGAAAATATTTTAAAAAACATCTGTCCCGACATGTGGACAAGATGAATGAGAGGGTTAAAAGTTGACACACCCTCAAAACGTCAATTTCGCGCCAAACAAACCCAGTTTGGAAGTTTATATTTTTTACATCCCCTAGCTAACATTTATCAATTTCTCAAAGCATTCTCAACTTCTGTGCCATAATAGCCTACAAAATAAATATATGTGACACTCCTGAGTTGCGGTGTACTTGCAGAAGATGCCATAAAACAACAATCTTTAAGATTTCTAGAATGTTTCCGAAGCCTAACAAAGCATGTTATCCTCATTAGAAAGGTAATTTCTCAGACGTCCTAGTGAAGCATGGTAGTTAAATCGCAGAAAATATGCAAGCTCGGCAAAAACTGGCAAAAGCTTTGTCGGAAGAAACACAAATCATAAATCCATCAAAATACGCCTTCTAATTGGCCAGAAAAATGAAACTAGAGCTGCAATTTGTACTCGGCCAACAACATGATCCTCTGCTATGGTCACGCTCAAACCAGATTTTACTGCCGAGCAGCTTGCATTTTGGTGCCATGCTTCGAGCTTTATAATTTTCAAGACAGAGAGTGCCAGCAAGTAAAGCCATGTGCACGAAAGTTTCGCTAAGTGCACTAGGCAAAGCTTGTGACCCTCATTCGGCAGCTCCCGACATGGCTGCGTTTGCCAAACCATCTCGCCCGAGCGTGAAATTGCCATTGACGCAGGAGGCCTCTTCTTTTATGCCCCTTCCCAAAGACGCTTCAGCCTCAATCAAAATGAATGCTTCTTCAACCTTATAACAGCAGATTACATTTTTGGAGCCACAACTCGCGAAAGATGCGCTCCCGCTAGCCGTGGGATCGCTGTTTGAGGCCTGCCTCCGGTTGCCAGGCAACCAGTGAGCTACCATGCATGCATTCTTTCTAACTCGTGCTACCTCCATCCCGTGTTGCCTACTGCGTTTGTTCGCATCGTCATTCGCGTTCGGTGGCTCGGGGCTTGTTCACACCAATTCTGTCGCCAAATGGCATTCACTATTAGAATTTAGAAAATACAAAACGAGCGCGAGACATTTGAAAAAAAAAAGTGTTTTTGAAACGATTAACTTAGGGCAGGGAGCCAACGACGCAACCTACCGTACTGGTCCCTACTGGCGTTGCACTGGGGAGGCCGACTGGGGTAGTTCTCTGGCACCGCCACCGTGATCGGAGGAACGCACGGCAGGTTCTTGTCGTCTGCAACGAGAGAAGGAAGTGAGGTTAGCGGGGTTTAAAAAAATTGGTCATCTACGGGAAAGGGAGACAACGGTGGCACGAGGTACACGACGGGCACGGTGTAAGATAACACTCTTCAGGTGAGGACAGCGCGCTCCTCGCGACGTGCCCGATAAAGTTCGCTCTTCACTCTCTCTCACTATGGTTTTAAGCGGCGCCGGCAGGCGACTCGTCGACCCGTGGGCACGTACAAGACGGCTCGTGCCGCCTCATGTACCACACGCGCAAAGCTCCAGCGAGGTTGTTGCACGTGCAGAAAGACCACGGTGTACCGGGGTGTCATGGCAACAAGATAATTTTTTTTGCTCTCACACAGTTTCGCCGTTTGGCCGCCGGCGACACTGTCAGCCGCTGGAACGGTGGCAGTGGAATGATGCAGCCTTTCAGACGCCCGTCGAACAAACACTATCTGACTCCTCGTGCCGTGCGTTCAGCCCCACCGTGTCCTCACCTAAAGAGTGTATCTTACACCGTGACGACGGGTAGGGCAAAGGGTCAGCAAATGAACGATTCCGCAAACACCGGTGCCAAATCGAATAGAAAGACCTCAGAAACCCCGGTCTTTGACTGGAAAACACGAAAAAAGATTATTTAATATGAATTACACAATTCTGAAATTTTACTAGCACATGCCCCTGAAGCCTCATTAGAGGGTCCTGTCATTATTTGCCCTGTAAAAGCAGCACTGCGTCATGGGGGTATGCCATACTAGTGTACAGTATAGACCACTTACAATGTAACCGCTTATAGCGCAGGACCGGGTATAACGCGGCTTTTTTAAACCACCGGTTCGCCTCCCTTAGAACTCCATGTAATTACATACCGCTTAAAATGCAGGCGCACGAAGGGAAATACCGGTTATAGTGCGGTTTTCCGAACAGCCCGGCGATCGCGCCGACTGACCGACGCAGAGAGCACGCTTCCTTGTGCGACACTAGATAACGGCGCGAGCCGCAAGCGGCACTCTCGGGGCAAGGAGGTTGCTCGAAGAAGCGGGAAGAAGCGAAGAGAGAGGCTTCAGTTGCCATAGCGACGGAGGGACGCACGCACGTGTCGTTCACGTGCGTGCATCCCTCCACTGCGTTGGAAACGTTGGAAACAACCGCAACGACAGACCAATCGCAAATCAAGGAGAAGTGTTCGCGCGCGTTGCATGTTGGTCGCGGGCCGGCCGGCCGGCGGCCGGCTGCTTCTATCCGCAAACATGGCGTCGGTTCTAATCGTCGACATAGACGGCGTGATAGGAGCTCATCGTTCCGCGTAAAAGCGCTATCCTTGACTGTGAATTTTCGTTGTGTGTCGCTATGGTAACCCAGCACGTACTAGAAGAAAAGATCCACCTACTCGTGCGGCGATGTTGTGGCGGCACTCTCAAGACGGCAGAAACGCCCGTGTCGTCGTGTTTGTTTACTTAGACTAATGTGGTGCTTTCTAAGCATTTGTGTTTTCGAACATCGCCCGGATTTCTTATTTGGAGCATTTCATGCCTGTGCTCAAGTTGAAGGTATTATTGGCGCGTACCGTATAAAGGATGCAAATTTTCACGCGTTTTCATCGCCGGAGAAAAGTGATTAGGGTTAGCAATCCTGAACGCTCGCAACGTCCGTCCGCAACCCGCGACGCCGTTAAAAGGCTGCGCCAGGCAAAAGTCGCTCATTTTCAAAATGTGTGACACACTTGAGAGAGAAGTGTACTAGTCTGGTGAAATAAAGACTTTCCTCAAACTAAGCTTTATTTTTCATCTAACATAAAATAAATTCTTTTACAAAGGTAAGTTGTCTGATGGCATGCATTTTGGCCTGAAAAATTGATGTTTTGGTTATAGCGTGGTACCGCTTATAGTGCGGATTTTCGCGACTCCCGCGACATACGTTATATGCGGTCTACACTGTATATGAATCAGGCCTGTACACAAGTGAAAAACATTGGCGGAGAATGCTGCCATTCAGTAGGCCATGCTGGGCTGAGCCGGCAAGCTTCATAGAGGCATCTCCGGTTCATGTGGAAAACAGCTACAAACTTGCATGTCACAGGAAACGATATCACGCGCAGATCGCGGACAAAAGACGCGGGTACCCGCTGTGAACTTGCTTGTCACATGAACGAATACCGCAGATTGCGCAGTGGATGCGATTATCGTCGGACAGCGCGTGAAGTTCGACGGGAATCAGAGGGCGAGTGCTGTCTCGGAATTTTGTGCTACGGATATTTCGCCAGAAAAACGGGATAGGCTATCTCTCGGGGGAAGACACCCTTACGGAATTTTACAGTAGTGTTCAAAACTACCGGAGAAACACTTCATTTAGGGGTGGTTCAAAGGAACTAGGGAGCTTGGCAGCCCCTGGGGGCCCTCACCCAGCTGGCAAATGAGGTGTACGGTGCGAGAGCCCGTGTGCTGGCTGGGGTCCAGCTGCACCTTGAAGCGCTGGTCCAGGTGGGCAATCTCCCCCTGCAGCAGGTCTGGGATCTCCAGGCCCTCCTCGGGCACGCGGCGCCGTTTGGCGGGGGGGCTCACGCACGCCCTGGGGGGACAACGAACAACACGTGGTTCGCGCCGCTTTGGCTGTTACCGGGGCATCCTAGCTGCCGAGCGTGTACCTTCCGCAGTCTACATTTCGTACCCCCAAAATTTGTTCCTCTCGAGAAGAACAAGTAGGAACAACCAATACTCAAGTGTAGGCACTGCACCGGGTGATGCATGCACCATCGGCCTAGACTCCTTGTGCCTGGGGAAGCAGCGGCAACCATACCCCGCTACAGCTTACAATGCACCGTAAAGAACACTATGAGTCGCGTTAGCCAACCCTATTCTTCACGCATGTCACGTGACGCGCTTCGGGCTCGGCTCCGGTGGCTTGTGGCGTCCGTTGCTGTCTGTCATAAGCTGAAACGGAGTGTGGTGCTCTATCTACGAGATTCCGGGCATACCCTCTTCTCAACAGAGGAGGTCTCTAAGCAGGTCGGCGAGTGAGTGTAAGCGTGCTTCCAATGGCCCCCATACCCACCAGTTAGGAAAACTAACAGTGGGTGCTTAGAAGGACATCAATGGAGGCAAAGCACGACTTAACTGACCCAAATGAAAGAAAACCAATGACGTAACTCAGCATCGCAATTTCGACGAGTTCACGCAAGTGTTTACCCTCAATATGTGAAAGCCGGTTTCGGTATCACTTAAACGCGACGATAATACTAATGAAATCATACACGTAGCACACAGAATGGGGAAGGTGTGCAACATGTTACGGCGTTCTGCGGGCAGCCGTACAGAGTTCAATGGATCACTCACGGGTCGCACCAACATTCCTTTCCTCGGCCCGGACCGATGAGCCGGAACTCAATATATCTTGGAATTAACAAGCCATCCCAGGCACGTATTCGTCACTAACAGTAGCAGAACCCACGAAGTGTAATTCAGGTTCTAAGAATATAAGTTGGTGGCCTAGTTAATAAAACATCTAAAAAACAGCACGAAAGACAAGGACAAGTAGAGAGAGGGCTGCACAGGACAAGCACTACTTTCAACTGACATTTTATTGAAAAGATAGAAAAAGAAAAGGAAGTTAAAAATTAATGTTGAAAAGAAGAAAAAAAAACGAAAAATATTAAAGAAAGTATCATGCAAATGTAGCTAGAGTCTTCATAAAAAGGTTGTTCAAAATTATAATTATTAAAAAAACAATAAAGATAAAAAATTTAACTTTCCTTTTTTCTTTTTCTTATTAAAATGCCAGTTAAAAGCAGTGTTTGTCCTCTCCATAGCACACCGTAGCCAGAAGCATCTAGAGCGAAAGCTCATGCTGCACAACCCAGAGGTCCTGGGTTCAAACTTGCCCCTATCCGTTTCTATCTCGATGAGCATCGTACCAGCATGCGGTCGTGTATCACTACTGCGTGGTGCACGTTAAAAACCCCAGGCTAACAATCGTACTACACTGGCAAAATTTCTCATCTGCAGCGGGTAACAAAGTCGCCATACCACGGCAACAAACAACTAATTTGTGTATTTGTCCTGCCTAGGCTTTCACTTGTTTTTATCTTTTGTGCTAACTGTTTTTGAGATGAAATTCATGCAACTACCAAAACACCAAGAACACGAAGAAGCCTTGAACACAGAGCTGCAGTCACCAAAACAACCCGAAAAATTCCCACCGCCTCCGACACCACACTGCACTATGCTGGTGTCTCTGTCACTCTCCTCTAAGCAAATATGCATGGCTGTAGGAAGAAATTAACTCTGCGGCGTCTCAATGCCCTAAAGCTGTAGATCCACACAAAACAATCTATCATTTTTCGAGAGTGTAGGGAGCACATTTTTGAAGCCTCCAAGCACGAGAGGCCTTCCACAGTTTGTGTAATAAATCTAGGAAAAAAAAAATTTCCACAATCCCCTCCTACCGGGCAGCCTCGGAACAGCGGGCATAGGGTCGGACATCTGTGGTCCCACTGGGCCCAGTTTGCTAACAAGGATTTAATAAATACAAAGAAGCAGAAAAATATGGCTCTCAAAGCTGTTCTAGTTTTTCATTATTTTGCGGAAAAAAACACAAGTGGCATGCATTCCACGATAAAAAAAGAAAAGGTTGGTAAGCATTGAATTTTATGCATCGCGGAAAATTTAATGCGCCTAACGCGTTGTCCGCCTTCCCTTCTCCCATTTTCTCCCAAACTCTTTCTCGTTCTTTCTCTCGAGACCACCACCGTCGGCGCTTACGACTGGCCGCATTCCACTTGCGTCCCTGCCCCCCACCCTCCCCAGGGTTTCTAGAGAATACGGGAGGGTCAGAACTCACCCCCTGGGCGAGGGCCCCAGCAGGGTGGTGATGGCGGGCCCAAACACCCGGTGCAGGGTGTGGTTGAACATGGGCGACTTGAGGTGGCTCGCCACCGCGTCAAGCAGCGGCTGGCACAGGCTCTGCTCGGGGGCACGCGGAGCGGGGGCCGCCGCCCCGAAGCCCTCTGCCTGCAAGCGTCCCGCCACGAGTGACCCTCGGGGCCCCGTGCATGCTTACCCCTACGCCGCATGCAATGTGTCTCCGGCCAGTGCGTTTGACGCGTCCTCGTACAAGGTCCCTCAATCTCTGCCTCGCAACGTCGTGCTTGTCTTGCATCGTTGACAGCCACAATTTCTGCGGTGGCGCGACGCCGAAGGCGCTTGAGGCAGACTCGTGTTTTGTCGCAGGTCGCTCCTCGACATGACGGCTCGTGGAAGCTTCGGCGGCCGTGAGTAAACCTTCCACCAAATTACCCGAGCGTCGAGAAGGACGCCGAGAGCGCAGGTACACGCGCTGCACGCACTTGCCTCATCCGTATAGAAAATTCAAAGTCAATAACAAGAAAAAAAAAAAACTGTGATGGCTTAGCTCGGCTATGCCAGCATATACGTAGCGTGAGCTTATGCGCACAAAACGAGAGGCGCTATCAAGTGGCTCCAGTGCAGCGTCAGACTTGGCTACTGCGCAACGGAGGCGCACAGCTGGGCACGCGGCAGCACGAGTGCGTCTGCCGCGGCTATGATGTCACTCCTCTGGAATGCGCAAACCGGCGAGGCAAGCGCGGCGGCGGCGGAGCGCGCGGCGGTGGCGGCTCTGGCGTGCCAGCTGTGCACCGTGTGACGTCACTGCTCCTCGCGCATGCGCAGCATGGAACACGGCTCATTATGCGAGCCACGCGAAACTGCTCAACCTCAGCCAGTATAGCTCACGCTACAAAAAGTGTTGACATATGAACGTGCAAACCGCAATTTGTTTCGAGTTTTTGCTTCAGAAAAGTTACCGCCACAGATGCAGTTACGTGCGACAAGTTTTTGCACACGCTCTTTGGTGCTCCCGTAAATTAACGAAAGACCCACTCGAACGCCGGAACGACGGCAACATGAATTTGCTTGCCGTTTTTGCCAAACTCATATAACCAAGCGCCGAGATCGTGACGTCCGACGGCCCGACACGCTCCCAAGAGATATTTTATTGCTACTTCCGGAACGCTTTAGACGCATGGGCGGCCTAGTACGCCGAACGCACGAGCCGCAGACGCATACCAGATGAGGTGGTCCCTCCCCCACTCACAATCTTCTCCTTGAGTTCCATCCGCTCCAGCACCTGCTCGCACTTGAGCAGCGTCTCCATGGAGCACCTGGAGGCAGACGAGAGCAACGTTTGGATTGCAGGACACGAAGGAAACCGAGGCGTCGAGTCAGGCGTGCTGCAGTTGCCCTTAGAACGAAACCCTTCCGACTGTCCGAAAGACAACAATGCAACAACGGACACCGCTAAAATTAAAAATCTAGAGCTACGTTGAACGAAGATGACGCGGAATGCACGTCCTTCCTAGGGTTGTAACTTTGACGGTGTCCTTCATGTCAGCCGTTGCGTGGCATTTCCAGAGTTTACAAACAAAGGCAGACTTTCGAAAGAGGCCCATTCGGGCGGTTGTTGCCTAGGTGCTAACCTTTTCATCACATTCCTCCGGCTCCAGACTCTTTGGGATTAAAGTATGCAAATGAGTAGGGAAAATACGCAAGTGCCTTTACGAACTGCGGAGGAAATTTCTGCGAGGATTGCCAAACAATATTACTCACCCTTGTGCAGGAACACATTTCCTGCATGGTGTCCATTCAAAAATGATCAAATTCCCTCCCATTTCACGCACTTCCACGCAACGGTTGGTAGCATGCATATCTAATTGGGGTGCTTAAAACTTTGTTTGTGCAAAACAAGAGAAAAAAAGGAAGGTTTTTAAGCAGATGCAACCACACTTCCAATGTTCCGTAAAGTCCCGTTCGAACACTTGCCCCCGAGAAATCGCCCATTCGTTTTTGGGGTTGAATATCTATCACAGAAATTCCGAAAGACCGCCCACCCCGATTCCCACCAGATATCGATCACGCGATGTCCCACGGAAATCACATCAACCGCGCGAACTGCGGTATCGGTATGTGTGACAAGCATGTTCGCCGCGGGTTCCCTCATCTTTATCGCATCGTGGCATGCAAATCTGCTGCGTCCGCAATCTGCGGTATTCGTTCCCGTGACATGCAAGTTTGTAGCGAGTTTGCGTGCTATTGTCTGTGATCTGCACGCACGATATCGGTTCCCGTGACAATTGAGCTTGTAGCGGGATCTCACGTGTTTATCGCACTGTGAAGTATGAATGTGCTGCTTCCCTATTCTGTGCTATTCGTTCCCATGGCAGGAGAGTTAGTAGCGAAGTCTTGCATGCTTATAGCACCGAGGAATGCGAATTTGCAATCTGTGATATCTGTTTCCGAGTTTCACATAGGTAGTTTGCAGTGATGTAGCCAGAGGGGAGGCTTAGGAAGCATCAGTCCCCAGCCCCAGCCTTCCCCCCCCCCCCCTCCTCGAAGTCCAGCTGACCCTGTATATACACCATGCAGGGACATCCTACCGTAATATACTGGGAAAGCACCCACTCAAAATTTAGAGATAATCGCAAAAAAGTAGGGGATGGGCTCTTGTCCGGTTATCAATTTTATATACATACAAATGTACTGCACGTATTTCCTCAGATCTTACAGATTTGGGTGTGGGCACTTAATGTGGAATGGGCAGATGCATGGTATTCTACGGTAGGTGCCTTAACCCCCTGAAAAAATATTCCTCGCTACGCCAAGCTTATCACCAATTTTTTATTAAATTTTGCTGCCGCATCCCCAAATATCGCCCACCCACTGTTTTTTACTACATTTATTTCTTCATTTTGGGTGGGCACTCTTTCAGAACTTTACAGTAAGCCTATATTCTAGAATACAAATTTTAAAAAAAGAGGTTAGATCCATGCACTCTATAGACCTTCTTCGCAAGGGCGCCACCATCTTGAATTGTCGTCACTTCCAGTATGGGCGAAAACATTGTTTTGCCGTCGCCACGCCAATAGAATGCATTTAGGAGAAAAGCGTAAACGTCACCCATTCTCGCTTTGTGTCCCCTCTATTTTGTTTTACTATTTGCAGGTTGAAATGTATTGGTATTTTTTCGTCGCGCATAGCGGATATGCCTACTTGGCGGTTTGGGGCGAGAGTAAACGGAAAAGGTCTATAGAAGCAGCAAACTAAGCCAAGCATGACAGCACTTGAAGCAAGCTCTCGTAGCTCATAAGAGATGGCAAGTAATCTGTCTTTGTGGGTGCTTACAAGTTGTAAGCACTCACAAAGACCAATTACTCGCCGTCTCTTGGGGCAAAGTGCACCAATGAACCTTGAGGAAATGAGCTCATCGAGATTACACTTGTATTAGCTTGCCCGAGAGCAGTCAACTGCTCACTTCTGAGCTACATGCACCAAGAAATGCGACGCAGAAAGCCACCAAAGCATCAAACTGGACCGCATTTAAACCCACTGGCGTCGAGGGCCAACTCGACAGAGAGAGCCACGAGAGTTTTTTCTCTACTCACGTTGATCTGTTGTCGTTTCACAAACAGAAAGAAAACTGGGTGAGGAAGGATCCAAAACAAAATCCACAAGAAAGAAAAAATACCTTCCACTCTCTGGCTGTGCTCTCGCAGAGGACGTTGGACCTCGTCTACAATTTGTGGTGCCCCGAGTTTTGCTGCTGGCAGCAAAAGCAATCAGAACGTGCACAAAAAAGAGGGGACAGTCTAAGAGGAAGGAGAGGTGCACCTTCTGTTGGGGTCAGACAGGATGTCCAGCAGGTTGTTCATCTTGCTCAGCTCCTTCTTGCGATCTGCAAAGCAAGGCGTGCACCTGTCAGTCGCCTCCACAGTAACTTTAGCCCCCTGCTCTTCGCTTCATTTCCATATGCAACTGGAAGCATTTAGAAATAAGATAAAGAAAGAATTTCCTGACAGCCTTTTCATGCTTAGTAGCCCTGTCCTGGTTAATTTTCAGGCACTATATATTTGTATGATGAGGTGAAATCCCGAATCTCGACGATATGAATCTCTCGGGTAAGCAGAAAATATTCATAGTATCATAAAATTGCATTATCCAGAACGGGCTCCAGAATGGTCATGAAAACTTTCAGCCTTTCCACTCTGGTGAAGGAGGAAGACCAGTGAAGCTGTAATAATGTCAGACGACCTCAAGGACGACTTCTTGGACGACCTCAAGGAAGACGCCTAAGGCCAACGTCTAGGATGACGTCTAGGACGACCTCAAAGACGATGTCTAGGATGACCTCAAGGACGACTTCTAAGATGACTTCAAGGACGACGCCTAGAGGAAGACCCCAGGGACGACGTCTAGACGACCTCAAGGACGACGCCTAGGACGACCTTAAAAACGACTTCTGGGACGACCTCGAGGACGACCTCTCGGACGACATCAGGGACGACCTCAAGGACGACGTCTAGGACGACTTCAAGGACAACTTCAAGGACAACCCCAAGGACAACCTCAAGGACGACGTTTAGGGTGACCTCAGGGACGACGCCTAGAGAAATTCAGCCTTTCCACTCTGGTGAAAACCAGAGTGGAAAGGCTGAATTTCTCTAGGCGTCGTCCTAGAAGGACGACGAAGGTTGTCGCCATCTATGAGCAAGGCCGGCAAGCCGATTGTCTGGTTGCCGCCGTCGCTTATAGATGGCGGTAGCTGTCCATAGTTCTGTGTCGACATTTGCTTGCGGGGGACACGATCCTGGGGAAACTAGCCCTTAACAGCTCTGCTGTAAAAAAAACGAAGACACCTAAAACTGCTTACATGTAGAAATGCTTTTGCATACCTACAAGCAGCACATTCCTACAAGCAGCGAGTCATGTCTGTTTTTCACACGGCACTCCGGCAGTGACATCACACTTCCCCACTGCACAAGCACCCACGCCGGCTCCACGGCTTCCGTGATGATGCATCAGCATTGCTGTGCTTTTCTTTGTTTTATTTCTAAGGCGCATCCGCTTTGACCTAAAGCGCCCTCCTGCCGGCTTCCGTGACGAAACGTCTGCGTTGCTGTGCTTTTGGCCAATAGGAATTTAGGTGCCGTTTTTCGCTGCTACAGACAACGCCGGCTTTGCTCCATGGGACCAGTTCATGCTTTTGCATTAAAATGCATACATACTCAGCGAGAGCATGGCTCTATGCTCCGTGTCTCTATTGTGTGCAGTGCAGGCAAAGGCAACGCCAGGAGAAGAGAGAAAAGGCGAGCACTAGAAAGGCGGGCGAGAGAGAATGGCAATAGAGGTCGAGGGGAGAAAGGGAGGGCACTAGGAACGCTAGAGGTAAAAAGAGGTTTCTCTCCTCCTCCTCCCCATCTTCCTAGTGCTTGCCCTTTCTCCCCTCGTCTGGCATTGCCTTTGCCTGTACTGCACGCAACTGGTGACGCGGAGTATGGGTAAAAAACTCACTTCAGTCCCGGAGACAGTCTAATGTCGCCGGTATTACCCCCTCTGGGATCGGCCAAGATTTTTTTATAATTTTGAATATTTGCTCGAGGTTTTTAGAGCGATAACTCCTGTGGGCTCTTCCCACCACTGGAAATGACGTCCGTTGTTGATGTTGTAGCTGCTGATGTTGCAGTTGTGGTAATTATAGTTGTCGTTGTTGATGTTGTAGTTGGCGTTGTAGGGCGTCCGTCGTCAATGTTGTCAAATCTTTGAAAAATGAAAAAAAATCTAATCTGGGCTTGCTGCGTGCGAAGCGGAGGCGCTACCACTGAGCCACAGCACAGCGTTAACAACCTGTTCTATACAGAGGGTTCCAATCTACAGGGAAACCCCCTGTTGATTAAATCACATTCCAACGAGCTACGAACAACCCGCTGCACGGCCACGATAGTCACGTGATAATGCACCACCTCCAAAATCAAAACCAGTTTCTCATTCAGTAGGTATGCATATTTAATGACTTTTTGGATCCCATTTTGGACAATATGATTTTAAAATTACTGTGCTTTATCTCTCGGTTCCCCCGAGATTTGTATAAAAAAATTCTTCCTGATATAACTTAGATCACCATAAACTACCGAGCATGCAGCCATGTCGCAATAAGCGACCGCCCCCTACTTTTGATACATTTCAAAAATCGTCGAAGGATGTATCGAGTGCCCACCCCTATTTTAGCAAAGTTAAAAAATATGCAAAGACTCATCAAGCAACCAGTCGCCGTGAGCGGCCATTATCCTCGCGAGCGGCGGACAGCATGGGCATAGCCAATGCATAGCGCGCGGCTTTAGTGACAAAAACTAGATGGTGCATAGCCAATCACTTTTCAATTCTTCTCAACAAACCGCATTTACTCGCATAATGAACGCACCCCAGCGATTGTCAGTATTAATTTCTTTTTTTTTCTTTTCCAGTGCAGCCGTCAAGTCGATTAAGGAGAGACACTACTCCGGAAGGCTAACTTTTGAACCGTTTGTCTTATTTGCATGAAATTTGCACGGTGTACTCATAGCGCTGGACAAGGATACTGTGGAAATTTTCAACCCTATAAATTTATCATACAATGAGTTACATGAAAGTTCATAATAAAAAAGTGTATCTGCTGAGGAAAACTATCGTTTAGAAAGGGTAATGAAAATGGCCAGTTTTTTTGCTGGAACATACAGCAGAATACTTGCTTCATACGACTATGAAAAGAAATTTCAAAAATTATAAAATTTATTCACAATAAAAATATAAAAAAGTTTTTGTTTTGCTGTACATTTGATTAAAAGAAATATAACTTTTCATAACAAAAGAGCATAAAAATGCAGAAAGTAAGTTCACAGTCGTGTTCTCCAGAAAATTTCAATATAGAAAAACCGAAATATATCGGCACGAATAATTTGATTATGAAATGATAGCTTCCCTGAACTGATATTCGACACTAAAAAGTGAAGCTGAGATAAACGCGTTTGAAGTTTCAAGATGACGTTTTAAAAATTTATTTTTGCATCTTAAATGTCAGAAATTCTTTCCAGCTGTAGGTGATGTCTTGCTCAAACTTCTTGTGACATACTGACATTGCTTTTAGCTATTTTCACTTGTGGAGGACGAGTGCTACGCAGTGCAGCACACCTCACCAACATATAAAGAATAATTATTTTTGACATTGTTTGTCAGTGCACATTGACAAGACTTTGTGAGAGTGTTCCTTGTTATCCATACATGCCAAAACTCAGCAGTTCTGAATATGCGTTTTTTGGAAAAAAAGGTGCAATTCAAGGTAGTGTCCCCCCTTAAGCTGCCAAGCGGCCAGGTAAAGCCAAGCCAAACCAAGCATGGCGGCACATGCGTGTTAGTTATGGCTGCAAGTGGGAAGTTGGAGATGCAATAAACAGCATAACTGCGCGACGTGCACGGCCAACAAAATTGGGGTTGAGGAATTGCCCAGCCCTTGAACACGCTTCGTCTATTAGATATACCGATGTCAACGAACATGCCACGGCCTGTGGTCCCTTTTTGGACGGTGAAATTGTGAAGCGGTTAGGTCGCGTTGGTTTCTGTGCCGAGTGCCGATGACGCGAAAACTGCGTCGAGCGTTGTAGGGCACTTTTTTGTCGGCAAAAAGAACGCCGAGGTTGCGTTTTACGCTCTAGCATGTTCAGCTTTGTGGGCAAACGACGGCCATTCTGAGTTCATTGGTCAGATGAAACAAGGCCCACTTAACTGTGTGCTCCTTCTGCAATTTCCATCTTGGACCTTGCAAGTGCCCCTCCACCAGTTTTCCATTAATATCTTTTAATTTTGAGTGGGTGCTTGCTCAGTATTTTACAGTGCTTCACTGATTGCCTTCACCTCACGGCACCAGCTGAAAAAATGCTTCGTAACAAAAAGAAAAAACATTGAGGACATTTCACAGTTCATTTTCAAATAAAAATTTGAAAATAAACTATTTAAAAAAATTCTCAACAAAGATTTTTGTGTTTTTAGCAGCCGCAACCCACTATCGAGAAAGGAAGAGAACATACTTTCGTCCTTGTCGATGCGGGCGATCATGCGACGCAGGGGGTCAATGTACTTGGAGAGCTGCTTCAACTTCTCCAGGTAGGCCTGGTCGTCCGACTGGCTCCGGGCAGCCGGGCTGGGCGTGGCTCCGCCCACATTGCCTGCGCAAACGAGGCTTTTTTGAAAAGCGGCTCGACTGGGGCGGCCGTCGCGCCCTCGGTAGAGTGCAGGCAGCCTCTGCTTCTGGCAAAAGCGAGACACCCAAAAAGGCTACTGAAACGAGAACAAGCGCATGTCGCTCTTTTTTTAACGCAGAATGCGTTAAACGTTTGGCTACTAACTGTTTCTGGCTTTGCACCCCCATAAGAAAAGACCGTTGCATGAAGGCCACGTCGGCATTCGGCACAAACTCTAATCTTATCTAATCGTGAAATTTGAGCGCGCGTGCACACTGCCAGAGCACGCCGAAAGGCACGGGGCACGTGCCGCAGGCCGGGCCTTCAAAAGACACGCCCTGTCGTTCTTGTTCTGTCGGCGACCATAGTACTCGCTCAAGAAGGAATCTTTGGAGCAAAATTTAGCGTCAAAGCCACTACCCCCTCAGTGCACAGATCACGAAAGGCCCTTCCACATGAGTGACAAAAGGCCCGTCCGTGCATGCATCACGAAAGGCCCGTTTGCACATGTCATGAAAGGCCCGTCTGTCTGTACAAGGGGGAGCTGGCTCACCTGGGGTGCTCAGGGTACTCCCTGGAGAGGGGGCACCCATGGTGCCCGGGGTCCGTCCCAGGAAGCTGCCCGCCGGCGAGGGCACCACCTGGGACGACGACGGACTGGGCGCGTAGCCACCAGCCGGGGATGGTACCATCTGGCTGCGGGGCAAGTGAGAGACGACACTGAGTGCGCCGCAATGCCTGCGTGTGCCGCAATACATTACCTCGGCACTCTCGAAACATGAGCAAATTCTTATTTCCCCAAGAAATCTACCCTCACCAAAGACAATATTTCCGGAATTTCCCCAAAAGACATTTCTCTAACCCCTCGGCTATAAATCGCGAGTGTCACCCATTACGGACCGGGAAGCTTGATCACGAGTTTGGTTTCGGTGATTCATATCACCCTCTGATCAGTTGCAAACTTTTTATAAAATCAACAATTCACGCTAAAATATAAAAAAAAAAATGTGTCGCTTTAGATATCTGCTACCCCCCACCTTCTTAAACATTTCCAACGGTACCACACAGTCAGAATGGCAAGCAAACAATAGTGAGAACAAACAACATCTGACAATCACATCTAGCAAATAATTTAGTGTATGCTGTGTATGAGGTGCACAAACCATGTGCAAAACGTGTTTTTCTTTTCTCACGAGGTGACATTGCAACAAGCGTGGCGACACTGACGCTCAACTGGTCCGTTTCGTTTCACGGTTGCTTTGTCCCGTTAAGCACACTGAGAAATATGCATACGTACCTGAAATGCATATTCTGGATACAAATGCTCAACGATTATTAGTTTTTTTGTTTTTTTATAATTTTATTGTCTGGTGAAATCTGGTGAAATTTTGATGACAGCTGGGCTTTGCAACCACTTTCCCGCCAGACAACGCTGACCAATGGGGAACCGAAAATACTTTGTAGTTGTGAACATTGCAATAAAGGCGGGAGTAGAACATGGAAAATCGTAAGCATTGACATCACTGGTCTCAAAAGAAAGAGTGAGAAGGAGAGTGATAGAGAAGAACCACCGTGAGACACCGCAGAAGCGCCTACTTCCTTCAAGAGCCCACTATTAACATTTCCTAAATTTGGGAATTCTGCAAATTATATGTTAACCGCCCTATTTGACCAGACAGGTGCCAATGTCTAGATTAACCCAGTTTTCAGTGAAAATAGGGAGGGCACTCCCTTAGTATTTCATGGTAGGTACAACACCTAGGTACATGCTAAGTTACAACTAGGTGCAGAGCTTGCAAGCAATGTTCTGCAGCTTCTTTGCTTGTAATAAAGTGTTGTCAGAAATATGGGCCCACCGGAAGCACCTAGGTCCGCGTCTAGTATGCCTCACTGTCTGGAAACTGTCAAAATGTGTGCAAAGATGGTGGACTTCTTCAGTAAGATATATTACTTAAAGCCCAACATGTTTTACTTCCAGCGGGGCGTGCCTGTAAAGTGACCAGACATCCCCATTTAGGCGGGACAGGTCTCGCTTTTCCGTCCGTGGTCCCGCAGTCCCCAAGCGTGCTTGTGGGACGGTGTTTTGTCCCGCTTCGGCTCCTCCGAATTCCGAATAGATAAAAGACGCGGCTAGACGAAACGATCGCACCAGTGGGAGGGTGCTTTCCCTGAACAATGTACAAGATTCACTTGGCAGAGAAGATGCGGATACTATGGGTATGTTATCTGCAAAAATAAATACATTAATACTAAAGAAATATTCCAACCAAATGCATTAGATGTGTATGGAATGAAATGTGTACGGTCTATATAAAATACAAAAAAAATACTAAAAAGGTGTGATTTGTTACCAAAATTTAAAGTTTCCAAGCTTCACAACACTATTACCCCCCCCAATATGCGTCCCGCCTTGGGGCCCGAGGAATATGGTCAGTTTACATGCCTGCCAACTTGTGATTTTTTAGAACGGTTCGGGCACATGGATCAGACAAATGTCTTCGCCCGACTAAGTAAAACAGTTTGTTAGTACAGTTTAGAGTTCTTACCGTAATGGCAGAAAATTACGAAAGGGACTAGGAAGCTGCCTTGAGCGCCGTGTTCCATTCTAATAACCACTTGCAGCGCAGGCTCTCTCACCAAAAGAACAAACTGCTCCGTGGTCGAGCGTGCCTCCGACCGGGGCCACGTGGAGCAAATGCTCCGACACCGCAAGTCTAAATCCCTGGCTAACAGTCACAGTGAGCTTGTCTTCGTAATGCCAAATGGCCCCAACAGTAAATAAAAAAATAAACCACTCAAACTGGTCACAGGCTGCTGGCTCACCTAGGCACGCTGTTGGACATGGGCGCAACTGGGGAGGGCACGGCCGCCTGGTTACTTCCGGGACCCTGGCTCGACCCCTGTGTAAGGCCCCACAGGGTAAACGGGAGCAAACACTGCCTCTCCTGGGACACACCACTCCCCTCCATCGCTACAACGGGACCTCGTTCTGCTAATCGATGTTTAACGACTGGACGACGTGCCGTAGAGCCTGGGCTCGAGTCGGCTCGTCGTCGTCATCATTCTTGGCTGTCGTAAAATGCTTTCGGCCTCGAATGTTTTGCGCTTTGCGACTGTAGTCTGTTATAGGTTGAGAAAAGCAGGACAAGTCCCTCCCACAAAGCCTTCGGCTCGTTATGATCGCTGGTTTCCTCCTCTCCAGCGGTAGCACTGCTAAAGTGAAAAGAGTCGAGGGCTTTCGAGCAGAAGCTTCTATTGCTGCTCTTAACCTGCAACAGACTCGCCGCTGTTCAAATCACTCACACTGACGCACATGCAGCGTCGATACAATTGTCTGCGGAAAATTCCGCGCAATTACTGAAAGAGTGCGCGAGACTATGGCTCATGAATCCCATGTCAGAACAAAAACCGTGAACTCGTTAACAGCAAGGCACAAGTGTCAGATGACAAACTGCAAACAGTAGAAGCGGCACGATAGTCACCGCAAGGTACGCAACAGACGGAAAAAACAAAGAAACAAAAAAATTAAAGCTCTTCACGTTCATTAATAAGGGGACGCACGGATCAATGCAAAGATGCGAACAAAAATGTTTTTTTAGAAAGTGACATATTTCACACTAAGGGCTCTTTGCTTCGCGACCTGCAGTTTCTTTTTGAATAAGACTATATTTGCCCACGCTCTAAATAATAACTTACACCAGCTCAAGTAGCAAAATATTATTTTAAAGACAGTATTTTTCAGAGCTGCATTTTTATGGCAACAATTGTTAAGGGGAACCTTCCCGGGAATTTCCGTAGTCGTCGTCCTCCGTAAAAGCTCACGGTGCCTCAAGCATGCACACGCAGTTAGAGAATGTGTCGAAAAGCAACTAGCGGATGCTGGAGGCGCAACGTTCGACAGGCTGTTGTGACGGCACGTGCGCACGAACCTCCAAGCTGATGAACTTGCACGCCACGCCGTATGGCTAGACCTCGGAAGGTGAGTGGCGGGTCGGAAGAACGCGGCTTTCAGCTACAGCGCACTGAGGAGGATCGTCGTAGATCGGAGGCATGTCATAGATCGGGCACAGGAGCAGAATCGAAAGTGGAAGCAAAAATGGCATGGAAGTTCTTGGAATCGCGCTCGGGAGGACACGCAGAAACGACGCAGCGACGATGGTGAATTGCGCGATGACGTAAATCCGTTCAGATTTTTTCTTTTGTTCGTGGAGCTGATATCTTGGCAACCATTTAGACTCGTTTTGTTTCACCGATTTGATTATACTCAAGAGTTGTACTACACTTTGTAACATTCTTATTTTCCCGAGTTATTTCTTCTTCAATGTATAATGCAATCCTTCACCTGCACACCAATTATGCCCCTCCAAACCAGGTGACAAAGAATGCAAACTGGAAATAATTATGTGAGAAAATAAAAAATACTGTACCAGAATGTTTTGTTGTGCAGCAGACATATGGGAACAGTACTGACCGAGCCTTCTATCGTCTTTCCTAAACTCCGCAGATTATCCAGTACGTTCTAAGCCGAGAAATGTTGTAAACTACGGAGTAATGATTGTGATATTTAATTGTTTCACCATACAGGACTTACCAATGTCCTGTATAGTGTACCAATTTTTACCAAGATCCTCCTTTTAACAACAGAACTTCCTGTTGATCCTCACATTTTGCCTCGCTGAATTAAGATGCCAATGTGCACCAAATGTGTACAAGGTGAAACAGAAAGACCAAAGTGGTGACCTAGCTGGGTTGCTGTGAACTGGACGCTCGTACTATACAACAATATTTTCCTTAGAAATTATGGAACCATGAAGTGCAATCAAATTTCTGGGATTTCTAATACATCAATATAGAGGTATCGAGGTTCCTATGGCATTTACTGAACCTTTTTGATTGTTTTGGAAAGAGAACAGAAGTTAAGGTTATTAATAGTGATGCGACATCATAGAGTGCGAGCTCCCACATGCTCAAAAAGGTTTATGTTTCAAGCTTTCATATGCATTGTCACTGACCCGACTGCCGAGACTAAAAATGCACTAAAACAATGGGATGGGTTCTTTTTAATGAACTAGTCCGGTAACGCAAGCAAAAAAAGTAACAGGCCCCCTAAACTTCCCTGGCTCCCTTAATGTTTTACCCAGATTCTCTAACATATCTCCAACCTTTGGCAGGTTTTTGGCAGATGCCTCCCATCAATTTGGAGGTTGCGAGGCCGGTTAGGTCTACCCCAAGACGACTTCGGTTTGGCACCCCCCCTCCAGAACTCAGCCCGACACCATTGCCTCGCCCCGCGACATTACAAAAAAAAGTGGCGTGACGTCACAAAAAAAAACGCAGCAAAACCCGGCGACATCCCAAAAAAATGTTGGGACTTCAAAACAAAGTGCCGTGATATCACAAGAGAGCGCCGTGACATCACGAAAAAGTGCCGCCAGCACTACCAGGAAAGATGAAAGCCCGTGCACTAACATTTTGACGTCATTGCAGCAAGACCAAACACAAACACGGATTGAACACGCATGCTACATTCAAGCGTTCGGTTAAACCTCGTGTCCAATACGTCCGAGGACGTGTCAGGCCCCGAGTTGGCGTCACAAGAGCATGACGACGTCACATGGAGGTAGGGAGGGCTGTTCCCTACCTCCACGTCCCAGGTGGCGTCAGCAGACCGCACTCACCACGGGGGCCACGTTGACGGTGTTGGGCACGGCCAGTTGCGCCGTAACTGCCGAGCCGGTGGCCGCCTGTCCCTGGAACTGTGCCACCCCGGGGACCGGCTGTGGCTGGGGCTGCGACTGCTGCGGCGGCTGCTGCGGAGCCTGCAAGGGGCGTCTCGTTGGGTCTGACACGACGGCTTCTCGCAGACAAGGACCGCCTTGCGCCAGAGGGTGCAGAAATGCCAACGAGTGACCTTGCAATTGTCAGTCTTTGAGCGAGTGCCAACAAGAAATATGAAAACCACGAGTGCTCTTGGGCATTTTCGCTCGAGAATGAGGGGAGAATTAAAAAAAAAATAGCATTTTTACTTGCTTGCTGGACAATGTATGCGTGGTACCGCGACTGGTTTTAACATTGCGTACAAACGTTACAAAGAACACCAGTTTGTCCTTAAGTTTTGAACAAGCTTGAAAGTCTCGTCTCTAATTAAAAACAACCTGGGCGGAGGCCACCGACCAGATGGCACGATGAGCGGTGAACGCTCTCACGCTTCGACGCACTTAAAAAGCCCCCAAAACGTCCATTCACGGGACCAGCTCCAACCGCTGCAACGTGCTCTTTTCTTGTCGTCCCCACCAGGTGCCTAGTTTACCCTTGCAATCTTTCTGAGAATGTCCAGAATCAACCAAACTTTCTTGCAAGTGTTACTGTTCTGCCAACTTGCAAAAATATAATTGCAAAAGTGCACAGACCAATTCATTGATTCTTCTTTAAAACACCTCGTCAACCTCTACCGCTGCCTCCGTTTGGACTCCGTAAAACGAAGCGTTAGTTCCCGTGGTTCCCAGGCTCCCTCGCACACATCGCGAGGGTGTGCGCCACATCCTGAAAGGCTCCATTCTCACGATTTATGGAAGACTAGCGTCGGAAGGCACGGCAAACATTCGTAGCCAGAACGGCGACCTGACTGGGACTTATGCGCTTGCCGCCACAGCACGCATCCAACCTTTAGATAATGATGCTATCGGTGCCCTTCGCTTCCGAATGATGCGATAGGTCGTACGTTCAGGGACTATAATCTGAGCAGTGTAAGATGTGGCTGCTCATTGGCACAAAGCGCAAGGGTCCCTGGAGCATGTCTCCCACTGGCGTGTTGCGTGCATGCTAAATTATAGTTCCTCAATTTACATCTTACACTTGTGTTGTGCTGTTGTCTTTCTGATGCTACCCTGGCAGCGGCGCGACAGTGAAAGCAGACAAGTCAGATGCCTGTCCTGCCATACGCCGTGGTCGACGGAAACTTCGGGAGTCACAGCTTGGGGCGCCCCAACGGTTTGATGCTCGCCTGCGCTCATTGCGCTTGCCCGAGCTTCTATGCAAAACCACCAGGATTGCAACATCCGACAGAGTGACCCGTTGGCTGCTGCAAAATAATTTTTTGCCACTACAGGACTGCTTTTAAAGCACAGCCGGTCACGGGATGCCAAACGGACCAGTCGAAGACGTGCCCCCCAACCACCATAACTACGCCTCACGGGCCACGCAGCGCTCTGTTCAGGAGACCCGGCTACCCCTGTCCCAGGTTATTGGACCCCCTTCCAGGTGGGCCCACTCACCACAGCCACGTTGGGGACGGGTCCCTGCGGCCTGAGCTTCTGCATGGGAAGGGAGAGGCAGTTGCCCATCATCTGGCCCTGCTGGGGCCTCATCTGGCCCTGTAGCTGGCCCTGCAGCTGGCCCTGTAGCTGGCCCTGTAGCTGCCCCTGAAGCTGCCCCTGCAGCTGCCCCTGCAATTGTCCCTGCAGTTGTCCCTGCAGCTGCCCCTGCAGCTGCCCAGGCATGGGACCCTGCAGCTGGCTCTGTAGCTGGTTCTGAAGCTGCCCCTGCATGGGGCCTTGCATAGGGCCCTGCATGGGGCCCTGCTGGGACTGGGGGGCCATCATCATGTTGCCCACCTGCATCACTGAATGCCCATGGGGTCCCGTCAGTCGTACAGACTGCATGCTGGCTATGTGAAGCTGTTTCTAATGCACAATATGTTTTGGAAATGCGATCCCCAAGGAATGTGGGACGTAGAGCCACGAAAAACTGTCCCCAAATGTGTGATATGCATTTCAGGTGAAGTAAAAGAACTGATTATTGAGAATAAAGAATAAAATTCCTAACATTGTCCAATGAACTAAACCCAGGAGCCTAAGATTCTGATTTGCCCGAAACCATTAGACGGTTTTGTGTGAATTTGAACGAGCGTGGTGGGTGGAGCCCTCAAATTCGGACGAAAAAAACAACACACTATAGCATCTGTTTGCTGCGCAAGTTGAAAGATCCCACCTGACAAGCTTCTTTGAATTCAAGTGCTGTTGAGGCAATGGCACTCCTAAATGACTCCACCAATTCTATGTCTTTTAATTCGAGCAACAACCTAACATGCTAGGCTTCATCATCGCTAAAAGAATTCTTAATTTTCTTCGATCTTCCCTTTACTAAAACCTCTTTGATTACCACAAGCCCAGTTATGATCTCGTATCATCAGGAGTCAACGCACACATTCTATCTACAGCTATGCACATATTAGATTTTCCATAAAAAAACAAGGTTGAAGCTGCCTCCCTCAGGTTCGTGGCTACGGTGCTCAATCTCTCATTTCTACGCAAACATCAAACAATGACCACGGCATGGGAAGGACTACACAGCCAACATAAAGACACTGACTATGTACAGTACCTTTCACAACACAGGCTTATCTTACAATTGGTCATTAAGTGCAAAACACTAATGTCCAATAAATTTCAATTGGTAATACTGCAAACACCACTCTTACAAACACTTCTGCTCACAATACACCTATTGCCAATAAAACAGCTTATCTATAAACATCAATCGGATGACAACTGCAGCTTTAACCTCACAAGCAATTTTCTTGCCCTCAGCGGTAAGAGTGGAGGGTGTTGACGTGAGAGTTAGAATGCAACTCTCTCTAGGTCCACGGCTGTGTTCCAGTTTAAACTGCTTTGGGGATAACTTTAGGGTCACTTTTTGCCGAGTCCTCTCAGTCTCTGTTGATGAATGGCGTAGGGATACAACATCAAGTCCTCGAAAGACAAAGTGGAGCTTCCCTCGCGAGAGGGAGAGCTGGGAGTGTAAATAAATGGAGTGCACAATTCGTGTATTAGCAAATGTATATCTGCGAAGATGGGCGGAAATCAATTAGATCTAGTGCACAAGCACTCTCTCTCGAGAAGCTTCACTCCGTCTTTATCCATCTTGGTGCCGTGTATCTACAATGACAATTTTTTTCAATTCAGTCTCAAACAAGCAGCACCTCATATTTGTTTCTCGGTCACTTAATGCGTGCAGCCATCACTCCGTGCCGAAATAACGGCCTATTTTTCGTGAATGTATCCTTTTTGCAGCAAAGCGCAGGGGCGGGGACTACTCACGCCTGGGCTGCTGCATGGCCAGTGGGTTGAGCCCTCCCGGAGGCTGTGGGGCCCCCCCCTCCATGCCCTGGGCCCCCTGGGTGGCCATGGAGCGCAGGGCCATCATGGGATCCTGGGGAGTGCCCTGCGGGGGGCCCCCGGGGGGAACCCCCATCACGGTCCCGTTGGGGGCCAAGCCGGGCTGGGGGGCCTTCTTGGAGTCTGCACGGGAAGGAAAACACATTGTCTCAGAGGGCGTGCAAACACTCCGCCAGAATGGTGTGTTTATTTATTTATGTCTACAGTATGGTTGTGTAGAGAGGTCCTAAGTCAAAGGGCATAGGTACCTCACAAGGCTTTAGCCATTTCTTGGTGTACAAGGGGCAACAAGCGGAAGAGAGTTGGAATAATAAAACACAATAATTATATATGAAGTCCCACAACAGTTCAATAGACAAAACATAAGCATCATACATAAATTCACAGTCTAGCTCAAGAGCCAACACGTAAGAATTATATGCAAATTCTCGGAACAGTTCAATAGCCAAAAAAAAAAAAAAGTCAGACCGTCAGACCCAGTTGCTGCACTTGATTGAGTTTAAAGGACCCTGCAGTCATCTTCAGCTTGCTAAAAGACTTTTACACACACTTATCTTTACAAAAATGGTAACACGTGAAAAAAAATTTTTCCTCAAAATTCACACTTCATACAGAGTTGCGTTGACGGATACAACAGGGAAAAGTTGATCCACGAAGCAATACTGGCGAAGACAACCAGCTCAATCGTGGCGGGCGAGCACCAGGGCGGGCTTACAGCCACTAAACCAGCTGCACCTCAGAGTAACGACACTTTGGCCATCTTGTTGCTTCGAATCATTGTTGCCTAATATACGAAGCTTTCTCTGAAATCAGAGACGCTTCCATACCGTGCAGAAATGTCAAAACAGTCTGCGACAGAGCAAAACGATGTGGCCCGAGCTTCCCCACACCGTATCTACCGTTCAGGAATTGGCATTATCAAATCGTAACTATTGCCAATGGGGACCACTCCACTCTACTAAGCAATGAAATGGCAGCAACCACGAGACAATATGGAGTAGAATGTCCATACTCTAGTATAAGCATAGATCACTTAGTGGCTCTAGGTGGGCCTTTCAAAGTTCCTTCGATCCTACTGGGCAGCTCTCAGGAAAACAAGGAACCGGTTGAATCAAGGGAGAGCGAAAACTGTTTGCAAAGGCCTGGATACTGTGGGTTGCATTTTTGTTTCCTGTTCCATCTTTTGGCTGTGTTTCTCGACAGCTCAAGAGGTATCTTTGTGTTTATGGTTCCGCGGCACTCGAGCACGCTTGTCACGGTGCTTTGCATTCGTACAACGGTAAGCTGGCTGCCCCTTGAAGGCAAAGCTTGTTTCTAAGGCTTGCACTTATTTTTTTCAGCAGCTTGTGCCAAAAGATGTGCCCGTGTTGCACTCGCACCACTGCTTCACTATCACACTGCTGGTTTACTCGCGCAATTTTTTAATATTATAATGTTTGAGCACCGAACTGGGCGTCTCGTTTGAGTCAAAGACGTTTCCGTAAAAATGGGCATGTCACATATCAATGAGAAAGCAATGGTTTCCATCGTTAAACATCTAAATGGTATTAGCACACACCGTTTAGATGTTTAATTACCAACAAGCCCAATTATCAACCCTTTCCCGTCGTTAAGTTAAGCAACTTAGTGGCATTCAGCATAAAAACACTGCTGAACTTGCTACGACTAACTTGGTGGCATTCAGCATAAAAACACCGCTGAACTTGCTATGACTAACTTAGTGGCATTCAGCATAAAAAAAAACAACACTGGAACTCAGGGATACTGGTTTAATCCCCACCCTCGCCCGTTTTGATCTGGATGAGCATAGTACCGGCGATGTCCTGTATCACTACTGCGTGGTGCACGTTAAATACCCCAGGCTAGCAGTTGTACTGCACTGGCTAGATTGCTCATCTACAGCTGGGAGACTCGTCGCCCGTTGAGGCAGACCAAGTTCTAGGCTGTATAAACATACACACAACCCAATTTTTTTTCTTTAAAACACTGCTGAACTTGCTATGACTATACCCAAGTTTCCATCTTTGTCCACCAGTGCTAAAGCTAATTTAGTTTTAACTCATCTATTTATTTATGGACGATGCCTTCAGACACAACAAGTAAATAAGGAATCTGACATACAAAAAAAAAAAAAAAAAAAACTACAGCATGGATAGTTATGCCTACTTGAAGGAATTGGGAAATCACCTCGCTTCAAATTTTATTCCTTAAATTGTAGAATTTGAGAGAGAAAACACTCCACTACCATGATGAATGTATCTTGACAGGATTTTGCAGCCGACCCCATATACTTGCATAATAGCTGCAGTTTGTTATGTTTTCTTAAATTTTTATGCCAAGATAAAGCTGTCCTATCAACATTTACCAAATTACCTTTTCTTTTTTTTTTTTTTCTTTTTTTTTGTAGACGTTATTGCGCGCGCACCGTCCCGCTCTGGAAGAAGGCTTTTTCCCAACCACACAGCTGTCGTGCGGGGAAGCGAGACACGCAGATTCCCGTTGCGACTTTTCTATGAGAAGCGACGACGGGTCAAGCATGTTTGCGTGATTCGTCATCACAAAGCACACAGCGTACATCAGAGAGTTGTAAAAGAGGAGTCCTCAACGTTTGGCTGCCCCCCAAAAAATTGGGGGATCCAAACGCAACAACGCAGCGCGCCCTGCGCGTTTGCCTTGCGTTTCCCGCTTGCAGCGCCAATGCGGCTTACAAGCGTAATGTTCAAAAACGAAAATCACTAAAAAAAAAAAAGAAAAACAAATTTAAAACCTATTTATGCATTTAATTATTACTGCCAGCCATTGACCGGCCAAGGGCGGAGTGGGTACATAGTGGAAAAGAGCACACAATCAAAATACGCGGCACGACATGCTTCTTTCAAACGCAGATGCGCTTGAAATATTTACAATAATTTCAGGCAAACTATTCCACTCATCAACAGATCTCACAAAGAACGAAAATTTAAATAAATCAGAGGAGTACGGATAGGGATCAATATGCCTGTTATGCTTATGTCTAACAGACTTATTTTTCGCGGGCTCACTATTTCGCGTTTTAGGTAAAAGCTGAAGTTTTGAAATAATTCGCGGGTTCCCATTTTCGCGACGCGGTAGGATCTCAATTGAGATTCCAATGTGTTTACTTTTTACTGGCAATGTTCGCGGCACCTATTTTCCGCGAATTGTAGGCGATTCGCGAAAATTAGGTTCCCGCAAAAATTAAGTCGTTTGCAGTATATTTTTTGTTCGTCAAACTTCTGGGAATCGCTAACAAATGAGAAGAACGTTTTGAGGCAATTCATTTTCATGTGCGCTTCAATCGTGTGAAATCCAGCTCTATTTCGCAATTCTGCAACTGATCTGGTTGATCTGTAATCATGAAAAATGAAGCGAAGCGCCTTGTTTCGTACTTTTTGCAGTTTTCCCATGTTTTAACGCGTGTAGGGTTCCCAAACTGGGCTGGCATTAACAAGTACTTTTTGTTTACAAATAATATTTAAGGTAAAGCCGAATCAACCCGGCTGAAACAAAAGACAATCTAAGATCAGCATAAATTTTGTTAGCCGTTTTCAGCCAAAACAATCCAATCCGTAACGCTATAATTTGGCGCTCCTTCTCGGGTTGCTTTTGTCGTTCGTTTGCCGCGCTGACCGTTTGTCGCAAAAGATTTAGGCCTTTAACTATGCGGAAACTGAGCACTTGCTTTATTTAGATCTGAGCTAAAGCGACTTGGAAGCCTCGGAAGACTTGTTTTCAAGCTACAGGCAACGTGCCACGACCGCTCGGCCGATCGAGCCAAGAAAATCCAGTCAGAGTCTCGGAGTGGATTGCCATGCCAACGGTTACCGCCGGTTACCGCGTCTCTTTAGGTTTAGACCCGCTTCAGAGGGGGCAACTTTCCCAGCAATTTTGATATCCTGCGGCGGTGATGATCGTGATGACGACAGCTAATGACTTGGTTCTGGTTTGAAATGGATCAATTTTGGGGAATAAACCGTTTCAGAAAGATGAGGCAGTATTTTCAACGCCATTTAAATACATTAAAACACGTTTATAGTGCGTAAATGCGTGGCAAAATTTTGCAAGAAAATTCACGCTTAATTATGATGATGGCAAATCGTAAGAAACGAGGGTGTGGAACAATGAAATTTCGGCGCTTATTTTTTGGTCTATATGTGTTCAAAGGAGCAGCATCACATCGGACACACCAATATCCTGTTAAAAAAGACACAAAAAGAAATTTTAAAACGAATTAAACGATTAGCAAAGAGCACGTGGTAGATGTCGCTAACGCCACTTTTGTAATACCCGTTAGTGACGGTGAGTGTCTCGCCTCCGGCCACTACGAGAGAAGAGTGGCAGGAGGAACTCCCCTCTTCCCGAGAATCTCCTTCGGGTGTCCCAGAAGTCGCTATTGTCCCTCTACAAGATTATAGAAGATTAACCCGCCACTCAAAATTCGTACAAAAGCAGCCGCTTCGGGGGCTGGAACGACTATTAGGACTAGGGTGGCTTCATGTGCGCTTCGCACATGAAGGCTCCCTAATTAGGACATTCTCTCGACGTCAGCCTCGCAGCAGCTTTGCTCGTCCCGAAACTAACTACGTCACGGTTGCGGGAGATGTCACGTGCCCTCCGCTGGCTGCTCTCCGGGCGCTTGCCAGAGTGGGCCGTTTATAACGAAAAATACAGCCACTAGGCTCAAAATACAAACGTGCAATTGTCATTTACGGATACTGTGGATCATATTCAACCTATTTATGAACACGACGGGAATACTTCGAATTTCGTTGAAGTATCAATTTAAATTCCGTTGTCGAGGAGAAACACACTTTCGGTGGAATGTCGAGGCAAATTCTTTACATTTCGATGAAAAGTCGAATAATTTAGCGAAGCGAGCCGTTCGCGCAGTTTCACGGAAATGTGGTAGCAGTGACATCCCCGCAGTTATGGAAGTAGGTTTCGCTCCAACAACGTGAAGGAAGCAAACAACCCTAATCGCCACTCAAAGCTCCAGGGGAAGAAAATATGCTTGCAAGGACGTGATTTATTTTATTTTTTTTTTTTTTTATTTCAAAATACTATCAGTCCCTACATGGGACTATGATAGGGAGGGCATGAACAAA